AGTCTGTTGCTTGATTCTAAGAATGGTGAAAATGCTTAGCTAATGGGCGAAAGTTCATTATCTCTAGAAGATAAAAATTGGAGAAACTAATTATCTTGCTTACGTAAAAAGCAAAAATCCAGTAAACCCAGTTTGTGGAAACAGACTTCTATTATATCAAAGCATTGCTCCTTAACTTCCGTTTTAGGATTACTGTCTAAAGCAATCTGGCTTTCTTTGAAGTAGGAAGTTTTCTCAATTTTCTGTCAAAGTATTTTGTACTTAGTATATGCAAAAATTATACAACCACACTCTTTTCATGTGCACAGAGCCCACTAACAAAGAAAAACTTTATACTTGACCTTGAAACAGCCCTCAATAATTTTTGAAAGATTGACAAGTCAGAATAGTTTCTGAAGAGAACAAAATAAAATGTATTAATAATAGGATATCTGGAAATATTGCTGTCCCCAATATGTTGACATTAAACAACCATCTTCCAAATAACCTGTGGCACCAAAGTGGTGGAGGGGTGGAAGTGGAAACAAATACTTTGGGCTGAAAGATAGTTTTACATCACAATCTATGGGAACCAGTTACAATAGTGCTTAAAAGGCTATTTACAGTAGTAAATCTAAAAATCTATCATTTAATTTGGAGTTGAGGAAAAAAATAAGAATTCAGTTTTTTTTTTTTAAAAAGTACAATTTCTTCAACAAAATGGGTTAGAAAAATGGGATTCCTGTATGCAAAAATGTGAAGCAAACCTCTACCTTATATATTAGGCAAAAATCAACTCCCGATGGATCAAAGATCTAAATCTATGACCAGATACACGAAATCACTAGAGGAAAATATTGAGGAAATTCAGCAAGACTTTGGGATAGTCAAACACTTTTTTTGGAGAGCTCAGAAACACAGGTGATGAAAGCAAAACCAGAAAAACGGGATTGCATCAAGCACCTGCAGAGCAAAATAGTCAACACAATGTATCAATACAATGGGATAAAATACATGCAAGCTATGCCTTTGTCAGAGGATTAATAACTGAAATCTAAACAGAGTTCAAGAAACTACACAGCAAATGATTCAGTTATGAAATGGGCAGAGTTACAGAGGAAGCAGGAAAGAGAGAGAGACTCCATCCACTGGTTATTTCCCCATATGGCCAAACTGCCAAGGTTGAGCTATACAGAAACCAGAGGCCTGGAGCTTCCTCTGAGTGTCCTAGGAACATTTTCTAACTTGATGTATTTGGTTACAAAATCATGATCCTCAACCTTAACAAAAATATCTCAGGAGAAGAAAAAAGTAGATTAGTGTATTGCAAGAACTCAGATGAAAATTTCTGAGCAAAATATTGGCAAATAGAAATCTAGGAATGGGCAAAAACTTAATAATCATTAAGTGTGACTTACTCTACAAATATAAGACTGATTTAATCTTTGAGAATTATTGATGCAGTTGGGTATAAGAAAAAGTATAAGAAAGGAAATTAACATATAATCTCACCTCCTTACAAGCAAAAAATACAGCTAATGAAGTAACTCAACATTACTTCATATCATTAAGATTGTATTAGCAAAATAATAGAAAACACTATCAATTTGATAAACTAAAAATTCTGTAATCAAAATCATGGCCAACAATTGAGACTGCAATCAATGGTACAGTATATAAAACTTTTCCTTTGTTGGCAATCACTTGCATTCAACACTGAATTGGAGAACTTTGATAATACATTAAGGTAAGATAATTAAATAAAATGAGCAAGTATTATACAATAAAAAGTTACACTATAATTTTGCAGAGTTGATGTGATTATTTCTGGGAAAGTCTTAAGAAATCTTCAAAACAACTATCAAAACAAAAAGCAAATTTATCAGATTCATAGAGCTATACTTACTATATGTAATCAATTATGTTTCTCATTATTGGCAGCAAAAGAAGCTTAAATTCAATTATAACATCAAAATCATAAAATCATTAAGAGAAAATGTGCCAAAATATGTGGAATTGATCGACACTGAAAATTTCAAATAATAGCTGAAAAACAAACTAAAAAATTAAGGAAGAACTAGTTTAAGTACATAAGTTTAAAAGGTCAGCATCAGTATTACATCAGTTCTCCCTAAAATTACCTATAGGTTAAATAACACCTATTTCAATCCCAGCATATTACCTTTTGATGATTTGGAAAGTAATTAGCAAAACACGTACGGAAACCTAACACGTCTGGGAAAGAAAGCATATTCTGCAAATGTAACAGAACTGGAGTATTCACACTATTTGATCTCAAAATATACTAATAACTATAGAAATTATTATTGATGTTAAGTAGAAACAAAAAGCTTTTTGAGATAAAATATAAAGTTCAGAAATAGACACCAATTTACATGATCACTCTAGTATTTTTAAGGGCACAAAAGAAATTTCTTGAGGATAGAGTAATATTTTCAACAAATTATTATTCAACAAATGATGAGCATAGGGGAGAAGAAAGCATATACTGCACACAAAATTCTTTCGTGCTGAAGAAAAAAGAAAATCTTAAAGCTTCTATAGAAAATAAAAGAATATTCTAACTTGGGGCTCAGTAAAATTTCCTTAGAGCTGATCCAAATTAAATGTTTATCCTCCTTCAGAATCGTTAAGAGAATAGAGAGACAAAGCTGTGATTCTGTTCAGAACTCACACATCTGACGTATATCACACAAACATATGCCAGCGCACACAATAACCAGAAAGCTGAACAAGAATGTAACTAAGAAGAAGAACAGGTATTTCATCAAAGAAAACATTCAAATAATCAGCAATCATACAGAAATGCATAGGACAGTATAAATTGTAAGGAACACGCAAGTAAAAATTGAGTGAGTTAACTATTACAAATAGATGAATTGCTAAAATTCCCAAAATATGGCTATCTTATCCACTGGGGAGAAAACAAAGCCCCTAAAACTTTCAGATATTTCAAGACGGTCAAAAATAATAAACCCACTTTACAAATGCTGAGTTCCTTATGGAGTTAAAATTACTATTATCCTATGATTCAGAAAGTATAGTCCTCCAAGTATTTACTTAAGAGAAATGGAAACATGTTTTATTATATTTGTAGAAGATTGTTTATGGTAGCTTTCTTTAGAGTTGTCATTAAAAAAAAGCATTATAATTTTCCATCTGAAGGAATAGGGGCAAAATAAATTATGGCATGTTTAAATCAGAAAGGTCTTGTCAATAACAACAAACTACATAATTACATAATAAACAACCATATATAATCAACCTGATTTCTTTTGTTCAGCATAAGTATGAGATTCACACGTAATAATACTTTCATTTCAAGGGAAGACTGATTTTAATAGTATGAATCCAAACATTTGTGCTTATGAAATATGAAGGGCTGCAGGGCTGCAGGGCTGCAGGGCTTCATTCTGAGACACCAACTCCCCAATTAACTTTTAAGTTCAGTCTTTGCCTGAGGGTAAATGCTTAGCTCTGTGGTCTGTGTAGGGAAAAGGGAACTATGTGAGCAGGAGGTCAACATTTCCATACACACATGTGCATTGGTTTTGGCTTTTCAACTCACCTCTCTCCCGCCTAGCATTCTTACAGAAAGATTTCCAAGCTCCATACAGTTTAGCTTCTCTGAGTATTTTCTAGACAATGTCTTCCTTTTTTCTACTTTACAATTATCACTCTCCCATCTGAATTTTTTGGAGGCTGGGGGTGTTTCTTGTCTTTTGATGTGTTTGTTTGTCTCCCAGAAATTTGTTGAATTCTCTTTCCTACTCAGGGACTGCAACTCATTCCACGCCTTTGCATTCCCTTCTTCAAAACAAATTAGTGATGGGGAATTTGGAGGACTCTATTAGGTATTACTGCAAGCAATACGAGTACAACCAATCAGAGAAAATAGTCGAATCTTTTTTATGAGACAAAAATCAATAATGGCACCTACCTAATTGTGTTTATGTGAGAATTAATATAAGTAAGGTATGTACAGCCTTGGAATTGTGAATACTACAAAGTAAATATGTAAATGATAGACATTGTTAAGTGTTGTTATTAATAATTGCTAATATTATTGGGGGAAATGGCCATAAATACATTTAGTCACTCTATCCTTTTGAACAGGAATCCAAAAAGTACTGATATGCTGAAAGAAAATATGCTTTTACCAAGGGTCAAGGAGAATCTTTAGTCTATTACAGGTCATTAAATATCAGAGTTACTAGAGAGAACTTATTTAAATTATAAAAGAAATTTGGAGGACTGACTTGAAGGGACACAGAAAAACTTGAGGAGTGACAGGAATATTCTAAACCCTAAACAAAATGGAAGGCTTCACTTAAAAAAGAAAATCTTCACATCATACGACTCAAATCACACATGATTCTGGAAATAGCAAAACTATGGATTCGGCAAAGAACAGTGATTTTGTGGGGTTGAGTGGAAGGAGTTCAATAGGTGGTTCCACAAGGATATCCAGGACAGTAACAACACAGAATGGAGAACACCAACTGTGAACCCTAATGTAAACTATGATGATAATGATATTACAATGAAGTTGCACTGATTTTATCAAAGAGGTTACTCTGGTTGGATGGTACCCATAATGTGAGATGCTACTCATGGGATGTGGCAAGAGACACATGAACTATCTGTGCAGTCAATGCAGTGGCATAACACATTGATACTCCGTCTGCACCCACAAGATCCCTTATGGGCACTGTACTTCCTGTCCAGCTCCTTGCTTGTGGCCTGGGAAAGCAATGGGGGATGTTCAGGTCCTCAAGCCCCTGTACCCACATGAGACACCAGGAAAAGGCTGGTGGCTCCTAGTCAGATGACCTCAGCTCTGGGCAGTGCAGCCATTTGGTGAGTGAATCAGGGAATGGACAATCTCTCTCTGGTTTCTCCTTCCTCTCTGTAACTTTGCCTTCCCAATAAAAATAACAAATATTGTGGGCCCGGTGTGGTAGCCTAGCAGCTAAAGCCCTTGCCTTGCATATGCTGAGATCTAATTCTAGCAGCCTGACTTTCAATCCAGCTGCCTGCTTGTGGCCTGGGAAAGCAGTCAAGGACAGCCCAAAACCTTGGGACCCGCACCCACATTGGAAATCCAGAAGCAGCTCCTAGCTCCTTGCTTCAGATTGGCTCAGCAATGGATGTTGTGTCTACTTGGGGTGTGAATCATTGGATGGAAGATCTTCCTCTGTGTCTCTGCTCCTCTCTGTATATCTGACTTTCCCATAAAAATAAATAAATCTTTTTTAAAATAATAGTATTTTTCTAAAAAGAGGAAGAAAATGTCTTCTTTTTCTTGCCCCATTTAGTGACACTGCAGACTATGCAGCCATAGAGCACTGGAAAGACATAAGAGCCTAAACAGTGATTGAGGAAACAAGATACTCTGGACATTTATCCTCATTATCAAAGCCAGGCTCTACGTCTAGAGGCTTCTTAAGAATCTGACTGATACAGAAAAGTCTCCTTTCTAGCTAAAAAGAGTCTGAAGTTGTCCTGGGGCCCAAAGTCATCCACTGAGAAAAACACAGTAAGTAATACATTATTTCAGGAAGCAAAGTGGCTACATACATATAACACACAGGAGGTATATCTTGGCTCTCTCCTTCCAACAGTCACAACCCCTGAACTCAGTTGAATCATCTGTTGCCATCTCTAAAACAACACCCCAGAAATTTCCACTTCTCCTACCCATATCTTCAGTCTTTCACTATTGGCCCATCCAACCTAAGCAACAATTAGGCACACATTTTTTTCTTCCATAAATAATAATTTACAAAATGAAAAATGGCATCGGGTCTCACTCAGTAGTGTCTCCCCATCAGTCTACTATACCTCCCAAATGACTTTGCTGGGGTATGTTGGGATCTGTTATCTCACTTCCCCATTAATTCAATTATCTCCCATACCCTGCCCTCTGATTCTAACCCCAGAACTTTACTAAGATTTTCCTGTAGTTGGACATTAAACAATATTTGTATACACTCTGAATCTCCCTGCATTCTAAGTGCTACAACTGAAACCATAAAGTGCTTGGCAATGATACTATAACCTTCTAGAACCTTTCTCTGACCACAGCTATTTCTATTGGGCTGGTCACATGATCACAACCTGGGTCAGTAGGTAAAGCACCTTAGTGTTTATCTGTCCCCCTACCTCCCTCCTAGGAATCTGGAATAGAGCTGTGGAGACTTTCACATTTGTTCCAGCATTTCAACAAGAAAAACGACACCAAGTTTGGACCTAGGCACTCAAGTTTGAAAACTGAGCAAGAAATAAGAAATAGAAAAAGTGGTAGAAGGGGGAGAAGAGTAAAAATGAGAGACCAACATGATACACTTAAGTGGCAGAACGATGAACTTGCTGAAGGGTTACACACTGTTGTAAACATGGGAGAAAAGTGCCGTGACGGGGTATGAGGAGGACGAAGGAGGAATCCCTGAGCCTATGAAACCATATCATGAAAAATAAAAATTAAAAAGTAATGATAATAAAAAAGAAATGAGAGACCAGGTGTCCACAGAGAAAACCTGGCTTTGTTTCTGATTATGTTCTAGACTGAGGTGTGGGAAAAGTCTCATTTCCTCCTCCAGCCTTTTCCCTCTTTTCTGCTGAATGCCAAAGTAACGCATCTAGCATCAGTCCAGTCCTTTGACCAGCTGGGCCTCCCTGACCCTTGACACTTTAAGTGCATGAGCTCTAATAGTCTAAATGTCTTTCAAAGCACTTATGAACAAATCCGGCGTTCTTCCAGCTGAAATTCACATCCACCTTTGATTCTTTCATCCTTTCCAACCAATTTCTAAATTTTCTGTTCTTCTCATTTACATGTCACCTTTGCATTCACACAGGTACCACTTCAGTTCATGCTCTCATCTGTGTTTGAGAATACTATCTTTTTTTTTTCTTAAGATTTATTTTTACTATTTTTTTATTGGAAAGGCAGATATACAGAAAGGAGAGGCAGAGAGGAAGATCTTCCGTCCAATGATTCACTCCCCAAGTGAGCGCAACGGCCGATGCTATGCCGATCCGAAGCCAGGAGCCTCTTCTGGGTCTCCTACGCGGGTGCAGGGTCCCAAAGCTTTTCCAGGTCTCCCACGTGGGTGCAGGGTCCCAAAGCTTTGGGCCATCCTCGACTGCTTTCCCAGGCCACAGGCAGGGAGCTGGAAGGGAAGAGGGGCCGCTGGGATAGAACCGGCACCCACATGGGATCCCGGGTGTGCAAGGTGAGGACCTTAACCACTGTGCCACCGCACCGGGCCCCGAGAATACTATCTTCTTTTAGCAAGTAAAGATTCACAAAAAAAGGAAGCATCTCTGAAAGTTCTAAAACATCCCAAACATTATCTTACACACGTTAAAAAGATAAATGTGCTTAATCCTCACCACATTTTCACACTAGACATTTGCTAAAGCTGTTTGTTGCTCTCTCACCTCACTCACTGTGTGTAAGTATAGATGTGTCCTGGTTCCGTAGTAAAAGTGAGAAGTTTAAATTTTAATGACTGTTGCACAGCACGGCGACCAATGAGAACTCAGATACTTGCATAAATAGTTTCTTCCCTCCCTTGCCGTCTGCAGTATTAGAGCCAACGCAGTACTCCTCACACAACGGAACTTCATTTGCTTCTAATCCTCGGATGAAAGCCAATTATTTGTGCTTGAGAGCACTCAAACAAAATGGGTGTGGCACATACAATTAAAATTTAAACTAGTGTCACTAAAAAGAGCTGTAATTTCATCCTTTTCCGGTATTGCAGAGGCTTTTAGTGTAAATCTATAAGGAAATTTCTAGATTTTTGTGAAAAAAAAAAAAAGAAGAAATGTTCAGCAGTGACAGAGCAGATTTCACTTCCTGAAATAAGTGACTGACTAAAGAATTCAGATATCTGGTTCAGTTCTTTAACATTTTCTGATATTTTATTAAGAAATGTTAAATTAGACATGTAAAGTTTCTTCAGTTAAAAACTAAAACATGTTTAGTATCAACCAGCTTTTACCTCAAAGGAGAACTAGTAATAAACCATCACAACAAATGAAGTTGATAGGCAAATTTATGGCAAGTCTAGGTGCTGGTATAATTCAAATAGGGAACTAAAAGGAAATTTAAAAGGCAACATGGAAATTTCAGCTCTATGATAAACAGCAGTGTAAAAATACACAATGTCAATCCACCCAAAATAACTTCTCCCAAGGGATGAAAAATTTTCCTTCTCATATAACCACATTACCATTAAATTCAAATTGTACCTGTGCGTTTCTGGTACACTGCTTCAGCCTATATCATTTTCTTAGCCCTTATGTATAGATAGAAAGCAAAACCTCAGAAGAATGCTGTGAGGAATTAGAGAAACTCCCTTTGTAATAATCTTACACTTTTAGAAAATTAGGTAGACTATTTTGTAAACAAAATTCTGTGTCTTTGGAAGAATAGAAATGAATATCACTGAAAGAGAACACTTTCTGGAAAGCCTTGATGGTATTCTCATTCCAACCTTCCTCCTTCCATCCAAGATTACCCTCAGAATTAGTGCAAAGAAATGATGCAGCACAGGTGTGTGAATCAGGCAGCTATCCCCTTCAGAAATAAAATCACCCATTTACCTGGCTTCCAAGAGGGTTATGTTGGTTGTCAGAGCAAATACCTGAGTCATTCTCTAAGAATGGTTTATGGTCAAGCAATCATTTTTCCTGACCCTGGAGTAGTCTATATCCTAAGACCAATGGTGTGCAGGATTAAACCTCTGTCCCTTTAGCTAACATACAGGGACCTTCCCTGCATCATGGATTTCTGTAGGATTGGTTAAGAACTCTCTTAAAAATTCACTGTAGTTCATCCTGTCCTTCCACCCAGTCTACAAGAAGCTACGTATACACATCTCTGCTTAGTTCCCTAGAAAACTTAATATAATAAAGTTGTCATTGAGGAAACACTGAGAAATAATCTAAAGCGGATATTTTAGGTGTGTCCTCTGATGAAAGGCCATGAGCACACAATAACCAATCCTGTTTGCATACATAAACCTCATGGTGTGTTAGCAGCAATGCAATTGTTAATAACTTTACTGGATACGAATTGGGCTGGGATGTTAAATAGAAAGAAATACATCAGTGAATACAGTAATTTGGTCATTTCAATGGGTTAGGAAATAGGTGACCAGCACTGCAGAACAAGTAACTATTGCTTGGGCTTCTTGGAGCAGAGGAGTCAGCCATCAAAAGCCTATGAGTGATTAATAACCAACTTAAGTCTGTGTATAAAGATAGCAGACCTCCTTGTCACCATATAAACACTTTCTCATCATTGCATCACATCCAAGAAAAAAAATTGAGCACCAGCCTTAGCAAATAATTATATGAGTGGCAGATCTCCAGAGAAGTTTTCATTTTCAACTTATGCAGATTGGCTATGCCAATGTCTTGGTCTGAACTAGAAAAAAAAAAAGTAGGACCATGAGCCATGAGACAGGATATTTGGGTTAATTCACTCAAGTCTTCTGAATCCCTGGATTCCCTCCCAGCTTGTGCCACTCTATAACCTGATATTACCAATTCAGTTGAGAGTCATTGCCAGAGGATCATTTAGGCATCACACCCTGTTACCTACCCTGTACTTAGTTCAAACCAACTTGCCTCATCTGGAAAGTTTATGCCAATCAGAACGGCTCATATAAGACTCTGGCTGGTCTGTGTCAAGCTACAGAACACTCCTGAAATTAAATCTGGAAATTAAGCCAGGGCCCCTATACTTGCCAACTATCTTAAGGCCACAGTGCATCATTATTCCCTACCCCCATCACCTACATCTGTTCCAGAAGGCCTCCCCCATACGGTTTACATCACTGTATGTGCAACTACCTGAAAAACATAGGTCAGGAAAACATGACCTAATAAAGCTGCTTGCATTTATGATATTGAATACACCAATTACGAACATGTGAAATGTGCTGTAAAGGCTCTGCGTTGATATACTGTACAGAACTGAAGAAACCATTCTTCATGAAGAGATATATTCCATCTCCCAGATGAGATTTCACCATATGTCTAGTGATCTAACCACTGCCTCGCC